TAGTGACTAAACTCTTCTAAGTATCTTGCAATTATCAGATAAGGAGTTAGTAATCATAGTGGAAAATATGCAATTTATATCTTCTGACTTGGCAATTTCATTTTACATACGTTGTTTTCGACACTACGGTTCCATTACTATGTAAAGAGGATCTTAATATTTGTAAATTAAAAGATTTTGGTACCCATTTATGAGGTTTTGTAACAGAGTTGAACTTATAGTAAGCAATTAGGCATCAAACATGGAATGTTTATGTGATTAGTACTTATGTCCTTGGATTGTGTATATATTGTTTGTGACAGGACCCGCCCCGAATTCCTCGAAACTCGAGACGAATCCTGTGAAAAATTCCGACATCACACCGCTGCCGGGCCCACCTACTAAAAACCGAGACTTTCTGTCGAAATTTCGGCAGAGTCTCCCCTGTAAATTAGACTTTTCCCAAAAATATTCAACCTGTTAAAAACACACAATTTATCACCCAACAGGCAGCATGCACAAGTTATCAACATGCAATTACATAATCGGCCTCCGGCCTTCAAATATTCCGAAACCAAGCTACCAACAGGCTCTTGAACCAAATAGTACTTTGCATGAGGCAAATAACAACTTAAACGTAAATACGAAAGCCGAAAGCAAAATTTACAACAACGAACTATACCAAATTCAACATATGACGTTTTAACCTCCTAACAATGTTCGCATCTCGTTCTCACCTGACTCTCAGGACCAACGACAGGGTCCGCACCACACTCAAAACACACAAAGGTAAAGTTTAACCCATGGCTGCACCTAGGCCTTACCCTAGGCTGCCTACGTACCCTCGCCGAGGGATCAAGCCATACGTAGTTCTCTCAATAACGGTCACAACTCCGGTAATAAACCAATATTTACAACAGAACCAACTATACATTTAAGATCTATCACAATTCCAAATCCGACAAAAACACATTGGAACATTATCAATTTCTTCCCAAGGCATCGTATTAAGAAGACATCCGAAGGGCCTGGACAAACTCCGACGGGCCTGGGCAAAATAAATCAATCTCCGAAGGGCCTGGGCAAACTCCGACGGGCCTGGGCAAAATAAATTCTTCATACATAAAAATCCCTAACCAGGGAGGTACCTAATGTAGTGCTAATAACACTCAAATTTACATTCTAAGTACCCCACACAAAATCCACAAATATTATATAAATGACTCAAGGTACTCGAGTACGTCAAACCCACCTATATCACAAATACTTTACAAAATATAAACGGAATTTAAATAAGCCATTAAATTCAGCATCATAATATTCCCATCGATCAAACCATAAAAATATAATCACATGGACCCACATAAATCAACATAAATTAAATGACAGTCAAACTCGTCCAAAAGGGTCGTTCTAGTACTCCACGAAGAGTGGGACTACCTCGGAAGACTCACGGTCAACCGAGAGTCAAACTACCCAAACGTTGGTCAACCGGGCCCGCGAGGCCCACGACCTCCATTTTACGATCTGAAAGTTCCTATGGGTTCCACAAGGTCTAGGATACTCGTCCTACAAGTTTGGTCCAGATCGGACGGTCGGATCGCTCACGATCGCACGATCGAACGGTTACTATAACCCTAGCCCTAGGGTTGGCATTTCCGGAGTATTCGGGGCTCCGTTTTACGATCCGTCGAATCCTACACGAATCTAAGGATGTCTAGGTTAACATATAATAAATTCAAGACCATCCAACGGTCCAAACCTGTCGAACCCGGATAACGCGTAATAGGCGATATCCGTTCGAGACTCAAACGGTATCCAAAACCATATCCGAGCATACCGTCATGCTTGGGATGACATAAGGATTATTATAGGACTCTGAGACCGGCCAAAAAGTGCCCCACGCGCTGCCACACGCGCCGGCAGCGCGTAGTGTCCAAAGCGATAACGCTTCGCCCGAAAATCTCAATATTTCGCTTCAAGACTCCTACCCTAGGTATAACACCCTATTTGGAGTCACTTTTGTTCTTTGGCAAACCCCAAAAACTAACCGGAAGTGGCTGAAAACGGAGGCCGAAACTGACAGATTTTTCTATCGCTTAATTGGCTTCCAAAACTCAGAAATTTCTCAAACCTAACACAATCAGCAGCTAGTACGTCTCGAGGGGTTGAGAAAGCATACCTGGATCGACGGAAATGGTGGCCGTAAGCGCCCGAACGAGCTCTGTGAATTTTTTGGTTAAAACCGGTCGGATTTTTGCAGCAACAGGGGGGGTTTTTCTGCGCAGGGAGAGAGAGGGAAGGACAGGAAAGAAAAAAGAAAAAGAAAAATATTAAACTGCCCGGTACTGTAGTGGTACTGTTGCTACAGTAACAAATTTAAAAATTCCCTATACGTCCCTTTCTTTTTCAGACTTTTCCTCCCTCGTTACAACTCGAAATTGAGCATGTCGCATGTCTACGAACTCGTATCGACGAGCTCTACGCAACGGTACCACTCACATCCCCAAATTCTTTCCCGAACTTAAAATGACCTTTTGCCCTTTAATATTAATTAATATTTCAATTTATTTTCCCCATTTAATTTTATTTCCTCTTAATTTAATTATTTTACCCCTTTTTCGGACCGGGATGTTACAGTTTGCATGGTAAGTGAAACCTTTAGAAGATAAGCTCTCTGTTTGAAATCACATCTGAATTCTTTTAAGGTTTAGTGTGAAAGATAAATCATGAAGTAGTCTACTAATGCGATAATGGCTCATATTTTCACATTTTCCTGTCTTCGAAAATTAGTTCCCTCTGTTCTTGAAAACATATAAAGTGATGGAGAGGTCTTATTATTTTTGGAAAATTTTACAATGTTCTCACATCTCTGTAATCTGTATTTGACATTGTACATAAATAATAAAATTAACGACTCAGATACTTCTTCTTTTTTTTTGGTGAAATAAGGGAAACCCCTAGAAAACAACTAAACCCCGCACATAAGTTGAGGCCTATACTTCTATGACAATGAGGTATGAACTTCATCACATACTCACGATGCATTGCACTTCTTGGTTGGTTTAGTCAATGCTGTTATACTTCAGAATTCAGATAGATTAGAATCATATGTTTGCTTTCTCTTTGCTTGTTACCAAATACTTTTTGTGTTTAATATCTTTGTGTGTCTAGTTGTTTCCCTCTTTTCGGCCGGGTAGGCCGATTGAAGGAGTTTTTGGTCCTTCTTCTTTTGGATGCGGGGCATGCCACCACCAAGCCCCGAATTTGGGCTTGAATGGAATGTGAGTAGATGGATGTGTTGCGCTTCTAACTTCTGATCAAACGATTGATCGGCCAAGCAAGGAACCTCCTCTTGGCCTAGGTTCTTTCACTTCCTCGGGCTCGAGGATGGTTAGGTTTCGTACGGATGTTTTTATGATTTTTAAGGTTTTAAGTAAAAATAATGCAATTAAACTAAATGTGCGTATAAACGTAAAGACAAGAATTGAAGTGCGATAAAATAAATCAAAGCAATAAATAAAGCGAGAATGAAAATAAAAGCGATAAGAACAATAAGAGCGATAAAATAAAATAGACTTGAAATTGAACTTAATCGAAGTGCGATAACAATGAAAAGCAAAGCAATGGAAATAAACTTGAATCTAAATGACACAAAAAATATAAATTGAACAAGAATTGAAACTTACACTAGGAAAAGGAAGAACTCGCTACACTAAGTGCTTGAAAATAAAATCCTAAGTCTAGGAAAAGAAAAGTGCGAGACGAAAGATAGGTTTGTCTGTTTGATGTTGTATCCTTGAGGTCTTCACTTGGTGATGTTTATATAGGGGTCCGCCGAGGAAACTTGATTCAAATTCTATATGCATTTATATATATATATTCACATATTAATTTACACATGTGGGACACCGGTTATTGAAGTTGGCCGCATAGCATATGCAATTTTACATGCACAAAACATGAATCCTTTTTTTTGATGAAACAAAACATGAATCCTTTTATATATATATGTGGCCCAGGTTAGCCACTTGGGCTTTTTAAATTCATATATATATATATATATATTAGATTTAGACCTTCAAAACCTTCGGCCGACTTTGCAAAATACCTACAAACTCTAGCTTCCACGAAAACCCCCAAGACTCCTGCCCAAAAACTTGTGGTCTTTCGGCCGCCAAAAACTGGGCATCAATAGCAAAGTATCCGGCCGCATCTTCGAGCCAAAATCCAGCCGCCCTTTCACAAGCCCCGGCCGTATTTTCGAAAGCCCAAGAACTCTATAACCCCGGCCGCACAGTTTCATCCATGCCCACTTGGAACAAAACCCGGCTGCCCTTTTAGCAATTTTCGAATTGTCCAGTCCGGCCATATTTGAACAAGGCTCGGCCGCTATTCTTCTCGTGCCCGGCTAATTCTTGTGCCCGGGTTAGGTGGATTTCTACCACCCCCAAACACTAGTTATCGTGGTTCTATGAAAAAACAATATAAGAATAACGAATCTTTTCACCTGTGCTGTTTTTGCTCTCTTTGATATTTACTTTCTCAATGATTTTTCCAAGAATAATATCGCTCACCATGAAACACGCACTGAACAAAACTCTAAAATACAACTATTCATATATTGCTCGGACTCAAATCATTTTTTCCTCCAACCATACTGACTCAAACGTAACTTTATTAAATTGTTTAACAATGGTTGCTTCCTAATTTTTTTTGCCATTAATTTTCTTGACAAATTTTTTGTTTAAATTGGAAAAGAAAACGAAACACTAGTTTGGAGGAAGACGTTGGATTCCTACGATCCTTTCATCCCAGCTCGTTATGTGTCCTGACGACATGGGCCCCACGTCTTCTCATCCATTAATCCCAACTCAATGAACTTCCTTTTTAAACCCAACAAAAAAATAAGAAGAAAAAAATGCGATCTAATTTGGATGCTCTTCTTTATCATGCATTTTGTCCACGATGGCGGGCTGATTTTCCAGGCCAAGTGGGCAAAATAGTAGAGATTTTAAAATCAACTTTCTGAACGTAAAATTAAAGTGGCGCGTATATGAAAAAGTTTCCCTCCCATTTCCTCCCTCTTTTTCCCCCTCACTCCCCTGGAAGAATACCGGTATATATTTTTCATTTTCGGAATTTCCATTTTCCCTCAACTCAAACGTCATTCTCTCTTGTCATCCTCATCCTTCAACCCAACCCACAGCCCCTTTTAGCTCGAATATTTTAAAACTACTACTTCGTTGTAATTGGATATTATTGATTTGATGGGTAGGGAGCGAGCTTATGTTGATGACGATATTGATGAAAGTAAGTTCAAGAATTCGGAAGCAATGAACCGCTACAAGAAAATCTTCAGTGTTCAATGTGTGACGGTTGAGCGGGAGGTCAAATTGAGCGACTTCGAGGATCTTGGGCTTCCCAGAATCTTGAAATCAAGAGGTTGGCTTTTGGCAATGGGTCCTTCAGAGCCTGCTAATATCCAGATTGTCCAAGAATTCTACGCAAACATTCCTCCTTTCTCCTCCGAGCAGAAAAACCCACCTGGGTTTGGCCCTTTTGGTACTTGTTTGTGGGATGAGACTCTGCATTTCTCCAGCGGTCGAGAATACCCTGACTCATTTGATGTGTATTTGCGGGGTAAGGTGTTGAATTTCTCTGTTTCTGGCATTGCCCAGTTGCTTAAACTTGCTAGGCCAAACCCAAATGAAAAATCACCTGGTTTTCCTGGGCTTCTTGTTGATAATCTTGACTTGAAGTTGGTGAAATCTACTTTGGGTTGGAACAAGAGAGTCAGGGTTTTGCGTGAAAATCGACTAAGTGATTTGTACAAAGTGCTTAACAGCATAGTGAGATATAATATCGATCCTCCTTGTCACGTTATCCCTTCTTTGCTTACCCCTGATAGAGCTCGCCTCCTTTATGCCATTGGGAACAATGTGCCCATTGATCTGGCCACCTACATTTTTCGTGCCATCTGTCGTGCTGCATTCCCAACTTCCATGCCCGACTCCTTGCCTTTTGCGTCCTTGATCACGCGCTTCGCCATGGCTTCTCACGTGCCAGTTGAGCCTACGGATAAGCTTTATTCTCCTTGGTCGCCTTTGGACAACTTGGATATTTTTGGCTATAGCTTTACTCCATCTTCTCCTGCAGTCAAGCAGGCGGTGGTGAGCCACACGTCCAGTATGGCCCTACTTACCAATGACGTTGCTGAGCACAGGGGTGATGTGCGCCCCGTTTCCACCTTCTCGGTCATCCCACCTTCTTCGAAACAGCCATCTACAGGTCAGTCAAATGTTAATAGACAGATGTTAACGAGGCTTTATTAGACAGATATTGAGAATCCATTTAATAGACAGATATTAAGTTAATGTGTGTGTAAAAGAGTTTATAAAGGAGGCTTAATCAAATGTAAAGTTCCTTAGATTACGCTTGGACATTCAGCTTATTACTATAAAATGCATAGGCCATTATTGTTTTTAAGTGCAGGTGGTAAAAATTTCCGGGTTTTCGTTGGTAGCATCATAGTTAGTAACAAATTTGAACTTATAGTAACAGATTCGATTGTGTGTATATTGTTTGCATGGTAAGTGGAAACCTTTAGAAGATAAGCTCTCTGTTTGAAGTCACATCTGTATTCTTTTAAGGTTTAGTGTGAAAGATAAATCATGAAGTAGTCTACTAATGCGATAATGGCTCATATTTTCACATTTTCCTGTCTTCGAAAATTAGTTGCCTCTGTTCTTGAAAACGTATAAAGTGATGGAGAGGTTTTATTATTTTTGGAATATTTTACAATGTTCCCACATCCCTGTAATCTGTATTTGACATTGTACATAGATAATAAAATGAACGACTCAGATACTTCATGTGACAATGAAGTATGAACTTCATCACATTTTGTCTCTTTCTGGTTATAATAGTCACGATGCATTTCACACCTTTGCTGGTTTAGTCAATGCTGTTATACTTCAGAATTCAGATATATTAGAATCAGATGTTTGCTTTCTCTCTGCTTGTTACCAAATACTCTGTCAGTTTAATATCTTTGTGTGTCAACAATATAAGAAAAACGAATCTTTTCTCTTGTGCTGTTTTTGCTCTCTTTGATGTTTACTTTCTCTTTGTGCTTGTGCTGAAGAAATAATGGAGGCTGAAG